TCTACTTGAAACAGAGAGATCAAAGTTGGTTAAACCTTGTATTTATCAGGGGCGAGAATCAGAAGGGTTTTAAAGTTAATGTGATACAGCTTAGTGGAGGAGTATGAGATGTGAGTTCCCATGTACTTAAGTATTTATAGAAAGAGGTGTCCATGAGAAGGGCTATAAGACTAGTAGGAAAGTTAAGGCCTAGGATCTATGATTTGGCTTAATTTATTTTATAATAGGAGACTGCTCCAAAAGATGCTAAGATATGCTGAATTTGTGAAACAGAATTTGAAATGATAAAGTCCAAAGATAGCATCTCCACCATACAGTATATACTTTTGCTGATGGGTTATAGTGTAATGCCATAACTGAAAACAAGATGGGCCCTGCCAAGCCAAATTTTAGCAGTGATGCTTCAAGGAACCCCCAGTGCACTCAATCAAATGCTTTCTCTGCATCTAACACCAAGAACAATGTTGGTGTCCTGTGAAGTGCGGTATATTGAAGTATATTGAGCAATCGTCTAGTGTGGAGGAGCTTGATGCCCTTTGATGAAACCCACTTGGTCTGGATTTATCATAGTGGGAATTATATCTAGTAATCTTTATGCTAATGTCTTCATGTAATTTTAATATTAGAGTTTAAGAGTGAAACTGGCTTGTAGTTAGTGGCGAGGAACTTCTATCAAACTCCTATTAAGAAATAAAAGATTCAGGTGATAAGAAGTGTTAGCCAGCAGCAGGACAATTTTATTAAGGGATAATTGGCTGAAATGTACTACAAAGAATATAAAGGTATTTTTCTACAAGAATTAAACTGCAAAGAATACAGCAATGTAAAATTGTCCAGCAGCAGGACAGTTTTAATCAAGGATAATAGGCCTAGCCTGTGTATGCCTAACTTTTATTTTTTACTTTGGGGGTAAGGGGTTACAGTGGATTTGAGTGATATAATTTGAGGTGGTTTAAGTGCACACTGTTTTTTCTTTCAAATAATGTAACGGTGGAATAAAAGGCAGCTTCAAGAATGGTCAGCAAGTGAAACATAAAAAAGACCCCACCAACATATAAATCAATAAACCCGCAAAATAAATGAAATTCCCCAAATACCAATCTCTAAAACAAAAGAAAACTTATTTTTTAAGGTTGTACAATGAAAATAAACATATACATATATATATATATATTTATATATACATACACACACACAGTACATACATATCTTGAAATGTACATTCAAATGCATACATCCCCTAATAATAACAGCAAAAAAGCAGAAAAATAGTGATTGCCCAAAGATAATTAAAGAATAGTTACCTAACTGGCCTTAATCTCTCTCCACGCCAGCTGTCAGCTTTCCCTATACTTTTTCTACAGCAGATTTAATACACTGTAACTATGGCTACTGTGTACCTCTCATTTCATAGTGAGGGGGTTGGCTTATCCAGAAGCCCCTTCTTGGCCATTTGTCTGTGGGCCAGAGTTCAATGACCATGCAGTTCAATATAGTGCAAAAAATGATCCTGGGTAAATTTGCACATAATTTTACTGGGACTGTGTATTTTGAACCCCCACGTTTTGTCTTGAAACCATGAATAGTGGGGAACACAAACCTCATCTTTAGTGTCTCTGCATTCTTTAATGCTTCGGGCTGAAATAATTATTTAAACTAGCTGCAGCTCAAATTGAAACATTTAGTAGTTTTCATTACACACCTTCTTTTCTATGGAGTCTCTAAATGCAGAAAAGGTCCAGGGTGTGAGTAATGCTGGTCATAGCTGGACATAATGTTGAATGAAAATTCATAGGAAAAGGATCCTTTCACACGGGCATTCTGTATGTTAATTTTTCATCTGTCCGTTTACGGATGAAAAACAGATATCCATGTATTTCTATGGACTAGCGGATGTAAACAGATGATCATCTGTTTACTCCCATTAATGTTTGCATCCATTAACATCTATTTTTTTGAATGGAACAAAAACCCTAATTTTCTTCCATTACAAAAACGGAAAGGACGAAAACTGGATGTAAACAGACACAAGGTCCATTTCTGCATCTGTTTTCACACTGGTAAAGGATGTAAAATAAACTGATGTAAAAACTGAGGAGAAACTGACAAGAAACTGCTGAAAAAAATTATGTAAACTGATGAAAAACTGATGTAAACGAATCCATTTTTTTTTTTTTTTTAAATGTGACTGAACTAATGAAAAAAAAGGGAACGCCCGTGTGAAAGGACCCCTAGTCTTAGGAAAATTTGTATGAAAATTCTCAGAACATTCGAATGTCATTTTAAAGATTTTCTGTGCTTTTAAATTTGATTTTGGAATGCATAAACTTTACAGAACAAAAACCACATACACTATGAGAAATATTTTTTACATCCTTCTCCTTTGAATTTTCTTGCCCCTGCACCAAAAACAAACATTGATTTGACCCACTAATGATTTGAAAAATTAACAAACTTTCTTAGAACATTCTTCAGGAGGTGCGTTGCTCCACTAAAAACATTTTTCTACTAGGGGGACCACCAAGGAAACCAATAATGATCAATGAACTAGCGTCATTGGCACAGGTCCATATAATTCATGCTACATTCAAGTAAATTTAAAACAAGGCATACAGGTGTGTAATAGGCTGTGCCCTTTCAGACCCAGCATCTGGCTAAAAACATGTTAAGCATTGTTTATCAACAAGGACATGAATGAGGCCTCATTGGTTCGTTATAAAGGAAGAAAATAAAAAGTCTTTCTGAGAATTAATTTTGCAATGAATATATTATTTTCAATACTCTGCAGACAAACACTGACAATGACTACTTACCAATGCCGATGAATATTACAGCAAAGCCCTCTTCCTTCAGAGATCTTATATTCATTCCATTCATTCCTAGGCCTGTGCCCTCAATTACCTTATAAAAGAAAATACATTGCCAATTAAGAAAACTAATGTAATGTAACCTAATAAGAGAGAAGAGTGTTTGGAAACAGAGTAAAAACTTTGAAAGCCTGGAGGAGAATGAGACAGAATGCATAAGACAAAGGGGATACATAATATGATTTGCAAACTGCTCATTAAAATGTGATTAGAAAGAAGGTTCTTTCTCTGATTCTAACAATGTACAGAGTAGGAAAGGAACAGACATTTAATATCTCTAACAATATTTTAAAGCATACAAAAAAATCTTAATACATTGCCATTTAAAACAGGTTATGTAAGGTGATGTTACACTGCTTGAAAATATATGTATAGGAATGCTATTTCACTCATTTAGCACGACTAACCTTAGCTATTTCTTGGTATGGTGACACCTAATATTTGCAAGCATTACTTAAAGGATGTATCAAATCCAAACTGAAATTCATTATAGTTCTTAGGGAGTCCAACAGCTAATTTCATGCTGGAGATTCTGGTTCCAGTTTTATCCATCTTGAGGTTTTAGGTCACCCTCCTCCTTCAGTTGAAGTATTGTTTCCTTTTCTCTTGTGTATTCATTATCATAACATTAATTGCAAAACCCAGAGGGATTCCTTGGTAGTGTGAGATATTATTTAATTTGGGTTTAGTTTTGACCACCAGACATGCCAAGAGACACACAAAACCACCAGGTGGTTTAGCAATCCAGTATCTAACAAAAACAGAAAAATCAGCTTTTAGCTGATCAATCCTTAAAAGTAATGGGCGTTTACCTATAACATGTTGAATGCATTCACAATGTTTCAATTATATAATGCATCCTTAAAGCATATCTAAAGCCAAAACATTTTTTTTTCCACTTTGGATAGAGTAGGGAAGGTTTAAGACCCATTTTTTTCCATCTTCGTCCCATTGTAGAGTTTTCCCTACAATTCTTGTTCTGTAGCCACAATAGGATGTGAGAAGAAATACATCTGAAGAAAAGGAAACCCCCTCTGAGACATATGTCACCATAAGTGTCCTCACTGGAAAATATCCCCTTTTTCTAGTTATTGTGACAATTTAGATTTTTTGATTTCCATATTCTATCTTGGCAATGTTTATTAGAACCAATAGAGAGGGTAAATTGTCTTAACAGGGACAGAAAAAGCAGTACAAACCAAACTTTACCACTGTATCCAAAACAAAATAAAAAGGTTTTGGCTTTAGATACATGTAAAGCACACATGAATTGAAATTGAAACATAATTTTAGGCATTGCAGTTGTAGAACATTTTACTATTTTTCTTACTAATTACATGGCAATTTCTTAAAGTATGTGTGAACCATCACCTTGGAAAACCAAGGAATATGAAATGTTGGGTTTGCATATTCTTTAAGGATGCAGCACATCCTGGAGTGTCAGATCCCTGTATATGTTGGCCTCAGCTGCTGGTCTTCCCCCTCTCCCCACTCCTACTTTACTTGTGTGAGTGTGTGACGTCCACCTCATGTTGTCCCATATTACAGCAGCAAAGGCTAACAGAGGAAGACAGCATAGAGTAAAATGCAACAGCAACCACAACAGTTGGCATTATGCTTGTATTTTTTCTTACCCCCGGGTAAGTGTGTGGTAGCTCTGGACAGGTAAGAGATGGGATATATATATATATATATATATATATATATATATATATATATATATATATATATATATATATATACACACATATATACACACAGTATCACACAGAAGTGAGTAAACCCCTCACAACTCCTTTGTAAATATTTTATTATATCTTTTCATGTGACAACACTGAAGAAACAACACTTTTCTACAATGTAAAGTAATGAGTGTACAGATTGTATAACAGTGTAAATTTACTGTCCCCTCAAAATAGCTCAACACACAGCCATTAATGTCTAAACCGCTGGCAACAAAAGTGAGTACACCCCTAAGTGAAAATGTCCAAATTGGGCCCAATTAGCCATTTTCCCTTCCCGGTGTCATGTGACTTGTTAGTGTTACAAGGTCTCAGGAGTGAATGGGGAGCAGGTATGTTAAATTTGGTGTTATCACCCTCACTCTCTCATACTGGTCACTGGAAGTTCAACATGGCACCTCATGGCAAAGAACTCTCTGAGGATCTGAAAAAAAGAATTGTTGCTCTACATAAAGATGGCCTAGGGTATAAGAAGATTGCCAAGAACCTGAAACTGAGCTGCAGCATGGTGGCCAGGACCATACAGCAGTTTAACTGGACAGGTTCCACTCAGAACAGGCCTCACCATGGTCAACCAAATAAGTTGAGTGCACGTGCTCAGTGTCATATCCAAAAGTTGTCTTTGGGAAATAGACGTATGAATGCTGCCAGCATTGCTGTAGAGGTTGAAGGGTTGGGGGGCCAGCCTGTCAGTGCTCAGAACATACACTGTACACTGCATCAGATTGGTCTGCATGGCTGTCATCACAGAAGGAAGCCTCTTCTAAAGATGATGCACAAGAAAGCCATTTGCTGAAGACAAGCAGACTAAGGATATGGTTTACTGGAAACATGTCCTGTGGTCTGATGAGACTAAGATAAACTTATTTGGTTCAGATGGTGTCAAGTGTGTGTGGTGGCAACCAGTTGAGGAGTAGAAAGACAGTGGTTCTTACCTACAGTCAAGCATGGTGGTGGGAGTGTCATGGTCTGGGGCTGCATGAGTGCTGCCGGCACTGGGGAGCTACAGTTCATTGAGGGAACCATGAATGCCAACATGTACTGTGACATACTGAAGCAGAGCTTGATCCCCTCCCTTCGGAGACTGGGACGCAGGGCAGTATTCCAACATGTTAACAATCCCAAACACACCTTCAAGACAACACTGCCTTGCTAAAGAAGCCAAGGGTAAAGATGATGGACTGTCCAAGCATGTCTCCAGACCTAAACCCTAATGAGCATCTGTGGGGCATCCTCAAACAGAAGGTGGAGGAGGGCAAGGTGTATAACATCCACCAGCTCCATGACGTCGTCATGGAGAGGTGGAAGAGGACTCCAGTGGCAATCTGTGAAGCTCTGGTGAACTCACTAATTTACATTTCTGCAAGCAGCTAAAAAGTTGGGAAAGGTATGCAATGCTTGGGAGGGGATCACAAATTGAACTTGTTGCTCCACCCAGTAATGACAAGGCACAGGTTACCTTTTATAAGAAAAGTGTACATTCAGTGAAATTGCAGAATTCTAAAAACTGCCACCATTCAAGGTAACTCCAATTTTAACAGAAATTGAGTTTACAACCCAACCCCTGTATTTTACAATTTTAAATAATGGAACAGTTGGGGTAGGGTTATAACCCTCATCTTCGGTATGAATAAAACAAGGTTTAGTAAAATAAGCATTGTTTCACACACCTGTTCATACAAACAATGATTTTTTAGTGCTGGTGGAATTATCCCTTTAAATGTACATCAAAAGTGATCCTCCAGCAAAATTACCCAATGTTCTCAAAAATGTAAAGTATTTAAACCACAAAGCAGTGTTCAGACCCTAATGTACATTTATATATCATTCACTCTGGATGAGACACATTTCCATTTCATGCATTTTTGTAAGCAATATCTCCAATTTTTCCCGTTATGTATGTACTGGATGCAGTTACGTCAAATGTTTGTACAGCGCTGCAATCCTGGAGAGCATAGGGAGCCAGGGTCATGGCATAATAATGAAAATGTGTGGAAATTTACTGCTAAAAGCAAACATCTCATTACAGTGTTCCTGCATTGCAATATGCTAGTAAACTACTAAAATGCACATGCATTTTTTCTACTCTGGAAAAAATAAAGGAGAAAGCAGCATTGTAAAAATAGAGTTTTTATGTTCATAATATAACCTCAATGTAGAAATTGTATTGATAATGTGCTTTATTTTTTTTTAGCAAACATTTATAGAAAGCAAGTCAAGTGCATGAAGGATTTACTATTGCTGGATGTTTGCTCTGCCTTTAGTGAATCTTGCTTTTAATCCTAAGCAATTGTACTACAAAAGAAAAGTTAGTAATATAGAGGTTGTTATTCTTCACATGTGATCTTTTTTTTTTTAACAACCAGAGGTAGTTTATTGAACAATAGCAAAGTACAAAAACAGCAAAAAAACCAAACAGAATAAAAAAAAAAAACGTAGACAAAAAATTCCAAAGACAGAAAGCAAAAAAAAAACCCAAACAAAAAAAAATTTAGTGCAAATGTTTAGCTTTGAGGAGCGGGGCCTCACAGCAAGGTAAATGGCTATGCAACCAGAAAACCCATGCAACATTAAAAAAAAAAATTAGCATACCCATTTTTTCCCGGGTCCAGGGTTCCCAAAACCTTTCAAACTTCCCAGAACAGCCTCTTTTTAATGTTTTGCCCAACTTGTACAACACCGAGTTCCAAATTATTATGAAAATTCTATTTAAGTTTTTTTTCATTTAACTCAGGAGGGCATTGTGTGCAGGGCTTTTTGATAAACTGAAAACAATCTGTACCCTTTGTGAAAATTAGTTTTGGCAGGGGGACCCCCAAATTTTAAAGGGAAAAAAAAATACTAAAGGACGGTTTTTCCACATTTTTAAAAGCAAGCACCATTTTCAAACAATAGGGAAGAAAAAGGATCCTTTGCTACGGAAAAGAGGTGAAAAAAGTTAAATTCCCTTGGCGAGGTTTTAAAAAACATTAGATTATTTCACAAAAAACAAAGCGTGATATTGCCCTTTTAAAAAGGATTTTTTGGCGTTATGGCCAGTATTTCACAAAAAAAAGGCCAAGGGGTTTGGGGGAAAACTTTAGGGCGGTGAAAAATAAAAAGGCAAAATGTAGGGAAATGCGGTTCCCTCGGTTAGGAATGGGGGAGCCTCCGGGGAAAAGGGCCCTTCTTTTTGGCCAAAAACCAATCTCAAACCGTGGTTTTGGGGGGCGGAAAAAAAGGCTTAAAAAGACCGGGGCCCGGGAAACCCCGGGGCGATGGGAGGGGGGGGGGGGGGAAAAAATTTAAAAACCTTTTTAAAACCGGCCAAACACGGGGGTAGGGATAATTTTTTGGTTTTTTTGGGAAATTCTTGGGGGGGTTGGTTTTGGGGGGAAAGGGGAAAACCCCGAAAGAAGGTAGTTTTGGGCCCCCTTTCCCCCGGGACAAAGGAAGGAACTATTTTTTCCGGAAAAAATTTTTCCTATAAATGAATTTGCTGAAAAATCCTTTCCCAGGGGGTCCCCCTCTTTCTGTCAAAAAGGGGATTTCAAAAGGAATTTGGTTCTCCTTTCATATTCTTTTTAGGTTTGCCCAAAAAACCCCTTGCCAAATATTTAATTAAAAAGGGGTTATGACCAAAAGGGGCAGAAAATGGGGACAGACGGGGGGCCCGACAAAAAGAAAAAACCTTTAAAATCAAATAAAATAATCTATTCGGAGGTGAAGGGGGGGGAGGGAGGGGTGGGGGTGGGGGGGGGTGGGGGGAGGAGGGGGGGGGGGGGGGGGGGAAGGGGGGGGTGGGGGTGGGGGGGGGGGGGGGTCTGGGGGGGGTGGGGGGGGATTGTTAGGAGAGGGAGGAAGGGGGGGGGGGAGAGGGGGGGACGGGGGGGAGAGGGGAGGGGGGAGGGGTGGATGGTGGAGGGAGGGGGGATGGAGAGAGGGGGGGGAAAAGGGGAGGGGGGGGGTGGGGGGGGGGCGGGGGGGGGGGGAGATTGGGGGGGGGGATGGGGGGGTATGGGGAGAGGTGGGAGGGGGGGGGGGGGGTGGGGGAGGGGGGGGGGGAGGGGGGAGTGGAGTTGGGGGGGAGTGGGGGGAGGAATATGGGGGGGGGGGGGTGAGGGGGGGGGGGGGGGGGCTAGGGTTGGGGGGGAGGAGGGGGGCGAGGGGGGGGGAAGGAAGGGGGATGGGGGGACGGGGGGGGTAGCGGGGGGGGGGGGGGGGGGGGGGGGGGGGGGGGGGGGGGGGTGGGGGGGGGGGTGGGGTGGGGGGGGGGGGGAGGGGGGGAGGGGGTGGGGGGGGCGGGGGTGGGGAGGGGAGGGGGGGGGGGGGGGGGGGGGGGGGGGGGGGAGGGGGGGGGTATGGGGGGGGGGGGTTTGGGGCGGGGGGGGGGGTGGGGGGAGGGGGGGGGGAAGGGGGGGAGGAGGGGGGGGGGGGGGGAATAGGGGGAGGAGAGGGAGGGGGGGGGGAGGTAGGGGGGTGGGGGGGGGGAGGGGGGGTCGGGGAGGGGGGGGGGGGGGGGGGGTGGGGGGGGGGGGCGCGGGGGGGGAGGGGAGGGGGGGTGGGGGGGGGGGGGGGGGGGGGGGGGGGGGGGAGGGGGGGGGAGGGGGTTGGGGGGGGGGGGGGGGGGGGGGGGGGGTTGGGTGGGAGGGAGGGGGGGGTGAGGGGGGGGGGGGGGGGGGGAGGGGGGGGGGGGGGGGGGGGGGGGGGGGATGGGGGGGGGGGGGTGGGGGGGGGGGGGGGGGGGAGGGGGGGGGGGTGCGAGGGGGGTGGGGGGGGGGGGGGGGGGGGGAGGGGGGGGGGGGGGGGGGGGGGGGGGGGGGGGGGGGGGGGGGGGGTGGAGGGGGGGGGGGGGGGGGGGGGTGGGGGGGGGGGAGGGGGGGGGGGGGGGGGGGGGGGGGGGGGGAGGGGGGGGGGGGGTGGGGGGGGGGGGGGGGGGGGGGGGGGGGGGGGGGGGGGGGGGGGGGGGGGGGTGGGGAGGGAGGGGGGGGGGGGGGGGGGGTGGGGGGGGGGGGGGGGGGGGGGGGGGGTGGGGGGGGGGGGGGAGGGGGGGGGGGGGGGGTGGGGGGGGGGTTGGGGGGGGGGGGGGGGGGGGGGGGGGGGGGGGGGGGGGGGGGGGTGGTGGAGGGGGGGGGGAGGTGGAGGGGGGGGGGGGGTGGGGGGGGGGGGGGGGGGGGGGGTTGGGGGGGGGGGGGGGGAGGGGGAGGGGGAGGGGGGGGGGGGGGAGGGGGGGGGGGGGGGGGGGGGGGGGGGGGGGGAGGGGGTGGGGGGTGGGGGGGGGGGATGGGGGGTGGGGGGGGGGTGGGGGGGGGGGGGGGGGGGGGGGGAGGGGTGGGGGGGGGGGGTGGGGGAGGGGTAGGGGGGGGGGGGGGGGGGAGGGGGGGGGGGGGGAGGGGGGGGGGGGGGGGGGGGGGGGGGGGGGGGGGGGGGGGAGGGGGGGGGGCGGGGGGGGGGGGGGAGTGGGGGGGGGGGTGGGGGGGGGGGATGGGGGGGGGGGGAGTGTGGGGGTGGAGGGGGGGTGGGGGGAGGGGGTGGGGGGGGGGGTGGGGGAGGGTGGGGGGGGGTGGAGGGGGGGTGGGGGGGGTGGGGGGTGGGGGTGGGGGGGGGGCCGGGAGGGAGGGGAAACCCCCCCCCGGGGAGGAAAAGGGTGGGGGGGGTGGGAGGGGGGGGGGAAAACGGGTTTGGGGGGGGGGAGGGCGTTTGGGGGCTTGGGGGTGGGGGGGGGTGGTGGAAGGGGGGGTTTTAAAAAGGGGGAAAGGGGGGTTTTGGGAAGGAAGGAAAAAAAAATTAATTGGGGGTTTGGGGGGGGGGGGAAAGGGGGGGTAAGGGGGGGTGGGGGGGAAAGGGGGAAAAGGGTTGGGGGTGGGGAAAAGGGAGGGGGGGTTGGGGGGAATGGGCCCCCCGGCCCTTCCGGGCGCAGGGTTTTGCCCCCCTCCCCGGGGCCGCGGAGGGGGCCAGGCGGGGAGGAAAAAGGGGGCCGTCTTCTTTTTCCTTTGGGTTAAAA